AAAAAAAAAAAACACTTTTTTTTTTTTCTCCCATGTTCTTAAGGAATGCTGATGGAATCTAACTCTGGATTGTATCAAATCTCTAAATTGTTTTTGGTAGTATTGACATTCTCATAATGTTCAGTCTTCCTATCCATGAGTATGGTATATTCTTGCAATTACATCTCTTATAATTTATTGTAGTAGTGTTTTGTGGTTTTCTTTGTATACTCCTTTTGTGCCCCAAGTAAGATTTATTCCCAAGTATTTTATCTTTTTGATAGCTATTGAAAAAGACATTGTTTTCCTTTTCAGAGATCTCCTTTTCGTTGTTATTGTTGTTGTTATGTGCCATCTAGTTGGACCCGAATCATGATGATGCCCCCGTTGGGTTCCAAGGTGGTATCACTATGGAAGTAGATTCCCCAACCTTCCTTCCAAGGAGTGGCTGGTGGGTTTGAACTTCAGCTTTCTGGTTAGCAGTCAAGTGCCTTAGGCACCATACTACCAGAGCTCCAATCCAAATGATTTTTATATGTTGATATTGTATCTTGTCACCATGCTAAATCTTTCAAAGAGTTTCAGTAGTTTTCTTGCCTTATTTTTAGAATTTTCTATGTACAGGATCATATCATCTGCAAACAGATGATTTTATTTCTTCCTTACCAATTTGGATGCCTTTTATTTTCCTTCCTTGCCTTATTGCCTTGGCTAGGACTTCCAATACAATATTGAATAGAAGTGGTGATAGAGTGCATCCTTGTCTGGTTTCTATTTACAAAGGAAATGCTTTCAGTCTCTCTCCAGTATATTTTAGCATATATACTCTTTACTCTATTGAGGAATTTCCCTTCTATTCCTATTTTTTTCTGAGATTGTGTCAAGATTGAGTGTGGGATTTTATCAAATGCCTAATCTGTGTCAATTGATATGATCATGTGGTTCTTTTCCTTTATACTTATGTAATGGATTATGTTGTTTGTTTTTCTAATGCTGAACCATCCCTGCTTACCTGGCATGAATCTCACTTGTTTATGATATATTTTCTCTTTGATACGTTTCTGCAGAAACTGTTGTCTAGGATTACGATGACAATGTCTGCATCTTTATTCATAGAGAGTATTGGCCTGTAGTTTTCCTTTCTGGTGGCATGTGTACCTGGTTTTCATATCAGGGTTCTTCTTGCTTCATAAAATGAATTTGACAGTATCCCATTCTTTTCTATGTGCTGGAATATTTTGAGTAGGATTGCTGTCAGCTCTTCTTTGAATGTTTAGCAGAATTCTTCAATGAAACACTCTGGGCAAGGACTTTTCTTGTGGACAGTTTTATTTTTATGACCTGCTCAATTTCTTCTTTTGTTTGGGGTCTGTTCAAATTTTCTACCTCAGTCTATGTTAGTTTAGATAAGTAGTGTGTTTCTAGAAATCTGTCCATTTCTTCTAGGTTTTCAAATGTGTTGGAGTACAGTTATCTGTAGTATAACAATTTTTAGTAATCCATTGTTGTTGTTGTTATGTGCCGTCGAGTTGGCCCCGACTCATAGCGACCCCTCCTTGGGTTTTTGAGGCAGTATCACTACGGAAGTAGGATTGCCCAACCTTCCTTCCGAGGAGTGGCTGGTGGGTTTGAACCACCAGCCGTCTGGTTAGCAGGCAAGTGACTTAGCCACTATGCTACCAGAGTTCCTATCCTGATATTATCCTTTATTTATGGTCAGGTTTGTTGTGACGTCACCCATTCATTTCTTATTCATGTTATTTGCATCTTCTCCTCTATTGTTAAATTTGCCAGTGTTTTGTCAATTTTATTAATTTTTTCAAAGAACCAACTTCTAATCTTGTTGATTCTTTTATTATTTTTCTGCTTTCTTTTTGATTTATTTCTGCTTGAATCATCATTATTTCTTATCTTCTGGTGACTGTAGGCTTTTTTTTTTTTTTTCCTGCTCTTTTTTTAATTGTTGGAGATGTTGGGTTAATTGTTAATTTTGGCTTTGCCTTCTTTTTTGTTTTATTCATTTATTGCTAAAATTGCCCTTTGATTGATGTTTTTGCTGAGTCCCAAAGATTTTCTTATGTTGTGTTTTCATTCTTGTTTGATTCAAGAAAATTTTTTATTTCATTTTTTAATTTCTTCTATTACTCAGTAATTTTTAAAGAGGGTGTTATTTAGTTTCCATATGTTTGCTATTTTTTCTTTGCTCTCCTATTCTTGATTTCTAATTTTATTGTATTGTGATCTGAGAAGATGCTTTGTAGTATTTCAGTGTTTTTTTGTTTTGTTTTGTTTTGTTTTTGGTAATTTATTTAGGCTTGCTTTGTGACTTAACATATTGTTTATTATGAAAAATATTCCATTCAAGCTAGGAAAGTGTTTTTACTGTGCTGTGGTTGGGTGGAGTTCTGTAGATATCTATAAGGCCAAGTTGGTGAATTACATTGTTTAGTTCTTCTGTGCTTTTGTTGGATTTCTTTCTACCTGTTTTATCTTTCAATGAATATGGTGTATTAAAGTCTCCTACTATAATTGCAGAGTCATCTATTTGTCTTTTAAATTCTTTTAAAGGTTGATTGATGATTTGAGACTCTTTAATTGGATGTGTAGATATTTAGTATGGTTGTGTTTTCTTGTTCAATGGATTCTTTAACAGTGATATAATGTCTTTCCTTGCATTTTACGGTGGTTTTTGTCTTAATGTATATTTTATCAGAAATTCAGATTGACAACCCTCATCTGTTTTGATTACCATTTGCTTAACATATTTTTTTCAACCTTTGGTTTTTAGTCTAATTTTGTTTTGTGTCTAAGAAGAGTCTCCTGAAGACAGAATAATGATGTGTCT